ATAAAATGCCTTAGATTGAGTAGTTTATAAATAATAAAGATATTTTATTACAGTCCTTGAGGCTGGGAAGTCCAAGATCTAGGCACCAGCAAAGTTGGCATCTGGTAAAAGCTTCTAAGATGGTGATTTCTTGCTATGTCTTCACATGGCAAAAAGTCAAAAAGGCAGGGCTCTCTCCCTTTCATTTCTTTTTTTTTTTCTCCTTCTTCTTTTTTCTCTTTCCCCTGTCTTTTTCCGCTCCTTTCAGGATTTTTGGCCAGGCATATGCATACATCTGGCTTCTTTTTCAAGCCAGTGGGTCTGGGACTTGAACTGCACAAATAGCCATGTTGGATCCAGCTGCTTTAACTACAAAGCAATGGAACCAGCCCCAGCCTCTTTTATAAAAGCACTAATCTCACTCGTGAAGGCAGATCCGTCATGACTTAATCACTTCTCCACTTAGAACTATCACATTGGGTCTTAGTTGTGGCATGCATTTGGTGGGACACATTCAGACCAGAGCAGGTGTCCATGGGCTATGTTTAGTCTCACTTTAAACTACTGCCCATCTTGCAGCCAGAGTTATCTTTCTGAAATGCAACACACTTATTCCCTTGTTTAAAATCTTTCAATGTCTCCCCTTCACCATTCTGTACTCCTGAGAATGACAATGAGGCCCCTTTACAACCTGGACCCTGAACCTTGTCTACTGCCATTTCCATCTCATGCTGGCCAGTCTTCAGGCATCTTGTACTCTAGTAATATCTTACTCTCTTATCCCTGGTTCGATTGTGTCCTGTGGTGAGTTAGAATAGGAAGTGACACTGTATAAGTGCTTACTAGTCAAGGAAGATGCCTTAAATTAGCAAACCACTGATACCATAAAATGTGGGAGCTGCAAAGAGTTCATGAAAATGTGTGTTATATGGGGCCAGCAGTTAGCGTAATGGCTATGTCACTAAACTTCCATGTAGTCAACCATGGTTCAAGTCCTGGACCTGGTGGCTTAAACTCACACCGGGTGCATGTGCGTGCGTGCCCAAAATCCCGAGAGGAGGATGGAGGAGAAGGAATTGTGGCGTGGCCATTCCCCCTGGGAGGTGATTTCTCTCTTTCTGTCTCTCTTTCTGTGTCTCGCTGGTGAGCACATGCGCCCTGTAGCAAAAACCTCTCCAAAAAGAAAAGAAAAGAAAAATGTGTGTTATGAAAAAAATCATATTTTTAAAAAATTTTTTGCACCAAAATAAATTTGTAGTTCAATTCTATTTTTCTACTAACTTTTAAAAATCCTCTCATACATCTTCTGGCTCAATTAATGCTTGTTTCGTCCTGTTGATCTTCTAGTGTTTAGTAGTTTTGTTTACCTTATGGGCACATGCAGTAGACAATATAAGTGCTAAGCAATATTTTCAGTTCCACTTCCTGAATACACAAATGACTACACCCCCCAATCCTCTGAGGGCAGAAAGGGCCTCCATGTTACTTTTCTAGACAAAAGGCTGCAATAGAAAGTGGCATGTAGTCAGTTCTAGGCCAAAGCTCTTAATAACCAAAGCACAGTTTGCCTTTCTTTCTTCCCCTATTTATTGTGGAGATTGTGACAGCACTTTTTTTTTTTTTCAAGTTTTTGCCATAGGGCACATGCGCTCGCTCACTGGAAAGAGACAGACAGAGACAGTGAAAATGAGAAATCACCCTCCAAGGAGGATGGCCATGCTGCAATCCCTTCTCCATTTTCTTCTTGGGATTTTTGGCACCCACGCACATGTGCCCGGTGTGATTTTCAAGCCACTGGGTCTGGGACTCAAACCATGATCAGTCGTGTGGGAATCCAGCCCTTCACCACCACGCCACCTGCTGGTCCCATTCTCCCTTATTTTTAAACAAGAAAGAACAAACCAAAGCAGAATTTTCAAGAATGACTTACTTTTACAGACAGGAGGGCTTGGGCTCCAGACACCCTTTGTTTTGTTCTCCACTGTGCAGGAAACAGAGGCTTTGCCTAACAGTGAGAAATGTGGATCACAGCTGTAGGTGACAGAAGAGCCAAATGTGTAGGTATCTCTGTCTCCACCGTTGTGCCTCCCATTGCTGATGTCTGGAGGAGACTCACACTGGGCAACTGAGATGAGTGAGGAAAGAGAAAGAAAGAATCAGGGAAGACATCATTACAAATCGAAATCCATGCAGACCCTAAGGGAGGGGACACATGGTAGCAAAGACACATGGGGGTATTATTGCCTGACGTGGTTAAGTTTATAGTCAAGTCAGGAAAAATTACTTACTTACACATTCTGGGAGAGGATCACTCCAGTCAACTCCTTTTTCTTGGATTTCACAGTAACTAGTGGTTGAGCCAACTAAGATGTATCTGAATAAGATGGGATCAAAGATTTTAGTGGAATTCTTCCCCCGCACACACACTTAAATTGGATAAAGGGATCTGAATCGTTCTTCAATATGAAAATGAACAAATATCACGTTTTTCAGATATCATTTCCTATGGAGCACACCATTCAGTAACATTTCATCGCTGTGATGAAAGGTGTATGTGTGTTCACTTCTTTCTCTCGCTAATCTATTACTGAGCATCTACCAGGTGTCCGGCAGGACAAGCAGGACAATAAAAGACTCACTGAAGTGGGCTCATGTGCACGCATGTATGTATATATCCTAGAAATTAAAAATTAAAAATTAAACAAGGGCCAGCCAGTGGCATAGTAGTTAAGGCAGCTTGATCTTGCCATTCACATCCCAGACCCAGTGGCTTGAAAATCACACGGGGTGCATGTATGTGTGTGTGCCCTAAGTCCCAAAAGGAGAAATAAGGAGAGGAGGGATTGTGACCATTCCACCCATAGAGGGTGTTTTCATGCTTGTTTCTCTCTCTATGTCTCTCTCTGGTGAGTGCATGTGTCTTCTAGCAAATTAAAATAAAACAAAACAAAGTTAAATGAGGGAGAAATAGGCAATAGATATGCCAGATAGTTCACAAATAAATACAGACATCTCTCGAACATATAAAAGAACCCTCAACTTCACTGGAGAAATGTACATCAAAACTAGAGAGAGATTTCATTTTTATCTCTTAAGCAGAAAAAATTTAAAATTTGACGAGTTTTCGAAAGTCTGACAACACTCTTGGACAGTTTATGAAGAAGCAGACATTTGCACTCTGCAAAACTATGGAACCCTTAGGGAGAGCAATTTGGCAATATCTTTCACATTTTCAGATATATGCTCAATGACAGTGTATCCATGTTCTTTGAGAAATGTCATCCGCCATCTATTCAGTTTACCCTGTAGATGTAACCATACATATACAAAACAACATCTGTATGAAGGAAATCTACATATTTTCCCCCAAAATACTGAAGACTGCTGCACTGAAGAGGATGAGAATGCAGGAAGATTTTCTTCCCCTGTCCCCTGTCTGCCTGAGTGCAGGATGGAAATCCTCATATGGGGATCAGCCAAGCAGAGTGGTGGTTAAAGATCATACATGATTGACTTCCAGTCCAAGTCTCAGAACCCAGGCTAGAAAAACACACAAGGCACATGTGCATGGGTGTCCAAAATCCCAAGAGGAAACTGTAGGAGACTGTAGGAGACAGGATTATGATGTATCCATCCCTCCTGGGGGGTGTTTTCTCATCCTCCCAATTTCCATACCACAACCCATCTGGCAAGCACAGGCACCTTATAACAGATATTTTAAAAAAGAAATCCTCATCTACTGGAGATAGCTTTTATCAGCTCAAGATGGCATCAACAGAGTCAGAGGAATTTGGGAGCCAACTTGAGAACCTTCTCACAGTTTCTCCCCTCTGGAGCCTAGGACTGCTTGATCCTTCAAAATTGATAGTTCTCTGTCAGATATGGTATACAACCCTGGGCCCCAAGCCTCTGCTTTGGGGGACACGTTTGAATTGAGGTTTTCTCTGCCTAATGGGCAGAATGCATTAAAGTAACTTCTACTGGGCCTCTTGTGTTAATCCTACTTGTTTTCAGGAGAATATCTCAACTAAGAACTTTTGAGGGCTTAGAAAAGAAATTAAATATCTCTCCCATTTATGTACAAAGTATTCATCAGAGCATGGTTCAGAAAAGCAAAAGAATGGAAACACCCATGGTCTACTAAAGGGACTTAATCATGACTTACACGATAAAATTCTGTGCGGTTATAAAAGGAAATGAATGAGGAACCTCTCTATGCACAAATATGAATGTATCTCTGGTGTGTATAGATTTTTAAAAAAAGGAAAATTAAAAACTACATTTGTTATTGGGAAGGGGACAAATGAGGATACATATATGCTGGGACGAGCAGATGGTGTAGTTGTTATATCACTGGACTCCCACATTGCTGACCGTGGTTCGAGTCCTGGACCCGGTGGCTTCAAAATCATGCCAGGCACCTGTGCGTTCTCCTCTCCTGGGAGGAGAGTGGAGAAAGGATTGTGGTGTGGCCATTCCCCTTGGGGGTTGATTTCTCACTTTCTCTCTTGCTGTCTCTGTCTCTCTCTCAGGTGAGTGCACACACCCTAACGCAAAAGCAAAATAAAAACTCCAAAAAAAGAATACATATGCTGATTTCTTTGCTTATAATTGAATAAGGAAATATTACAAAGATATATATGAAACCAATAAAAATGAATTCTTGCCTGAGAACAGGAAGGAATGGGCGTATGGAAATATACCTTTTTTTACATCATTTAAAATTTTGAGTATATGAACACATTAATTTTTTAAATTAATTTTTAAAAATTGTTTCTAAATGGCCCCATGCTTACCCTTCTAAACAGCTGAATTCTATGTGTGATCCAAAAAGAAAATCTGTCTTAACTTCCACTTGTCCATTAGGTAAATCTCCTGGGTTTCTGCATCGTTTCCCTGGGGGAAAAAATGAAAATGATAATTAGTGATTTCAAGTACTCACACTTACATAAAAACTGAGTGATCAAGGAAAAGAAAAAACAAAACAAAACTGAGCGATCAAGTTCCATCTCTGCTCCCAGAATGCCCCAGAAGTTTAGATTCAAATTGACTTCGTATCCTGAGTCACTGAATTTTTATTTTGGAGGAAAAATACAAAATTTGATCTCTCTCTCTTTTTTTTTTTTGGTATGTTGTATCAGTAGAGAAAAGCACTCAGTTAAATCACTGTGGTAATGGAGTCCACGGTCCAAGATTTAATATCTTGGTGGGGGTCGGGGAGCTTTGCTCCATTCTATGACTATGGTATGTATTCTGATCATAGGTCACTCAAAAATGCATGTCCTTGGGTCACAAAAACAGCAGTAAAGACAAGGTGAGGGCAGATCCCTTACTACTGGGAAGTACAACAGAATACATTCCCAACCAACAGTACACCATAAATTCTTCTGCCAAACACATCAGATATTTGGAGTGAGGTTACTCTGGAAACTGTATCGCCACTTCCTAGCCACCTAACTTTTCATATTTTTTCACACATGAATCTTATTTTCAATATATTAAAATGGAATTTGTGGTTTATTTTTAGACAAAGGTGTTTGGTGAATGGCTTCATAAATAGTAAACTCTTTTGGGCCCAGCAGGTGGCATAGTGGTTAACATACTACTAGACTCCACCTGGCCAACCGCAGTTCAAGTCCCAGGCACGGCAACTTGAAAATCATGCTGGGCACGTGTGCATGTGTGCCCAAAATCTCAGGAAGAAAATGGAAGAGAGGGGACTGTGGTGTGGCCATTCTCTCTAAAGGGTGATTTCTCAATTTCCCTCTCTCTGTCTCTCTCTCTGACAAGCACACGTATCCTATAGGAAAATAAAAAAGGAATAGACTGTTTTTTCAATGCAATTAACTCCTATTTTTTATGTCTTACTTTGTTTTGTTTTCTAAAAGCTGGCGCACATGTGTACACATATCAGTTAAGGACAAACTAGATGATGCCTTTTTTAGTAGGAAATTTCTGAAACAACTTTCCAAAAATGGGGAAAAAGACACAAAAGAGAAAAATAAATATTGACACTTACTGGTACAGAAGGTAACATAGCTCCAGGAACCTTTCGATCTACAGATAAGAGTCGGATTTGAAATGGTCTTACTGAAGCCAGGGCGGCAGGTGTACCTTAGAACGTCTCCAGTTTTGAATTCTGTGTCATTCAGCTCATTTACCGGAGAAGCAAAGGATAAAATGGGTGGGGGACCACAGTCACCTGGACACCAAAATGACAATGAGCATCAAATGTTATATCTTGGGATACAGCATCTTATTGTTTCAGTAGTACGATTTGCAGAACACTGGCCGTTCTTTCTCTTCTAATCTAAAAGAATCAAAACTCCTATTATCCCCTCTATTCAATGCATCCAGTGAATGATCAGTAACATTTTGTGATCATTTCTGATAAGGACATTAATAATGATAATGATAAAAGAGAATTTTTAAATCTCTTCTGTACTATACAGATGAGATCATTTATCTAAAAAGAATGACAGACATGAATTTTCTCAGCCTATTGGATTCCCCATGTCTGCTGACTAAGATGCATCTGTGCAAAGCCAGAAGTTCTTACAAGTCTGCTTCAACAGAAATGTATTATTTCATTAAAAATAATACTACTAACATAGTTTGTCTCTGGGAAGGAAAACTGGGTTACTGGGTGGTGGGTAAGAAAAATATTTATGATTAGTTTTTTTGCAACTTTTGGATTTTGAGTAATATGGAAAAGAAAACACGAAGCATTTGAAGCATAAAAATCTTAATCTTGGTTTCTCTGAGAGAATTAAATACAGGATAATGTACTTTTAAGGGCCCCAGTACACTTCACCCCTCCATTGTGGATAAAATGATAATCACACTAACAGATAGTAAAGATTTCATGCCATGGTTGGGAGACAGATTGTTCTGGAAACTCCTAGAGAAGAAATTTTAGGGGGAAATTTCTAGAAAACTGCCTTTTTTATGTGTAAAGCAAATTTCCCTAAATTCCAGCTGGTCAGATAAACCCTTTGTTACTGAAACTGGATTTGTCCAGACACTTAGTCATCTCTTTTGAAGTCTTCGAAGTGAATGTGTGGGTGAGCTAGGTTGTTTGTGGCAGATCTGAACTTGTTTCCTATCACTCACCAAGAACAGTAGCTAACAGGGCAGTGACCAAGGTCATCTGGAAGAGAGCTGAGTCAGCGACCTTCCACAGCCTACAGAAGGGCCAGGCTTCCATTCGCCTCTTCCCATAAACGGTTCCATTTGAAGCCCTTGGAGGGGGCATAACCGGCTGCTTCTCTGACATTTTTCTCCTGAAAGAACTCAATTTAATAAACAGTCATTGAATTCTTGAATTCCTACTCGTCATAACACGTTAGATAAGTGTTATGGGATCCCCGTCTTCAAGGATATTACTGCCTAGAGTGGAAGAAAAAACAGAAGGACAACTGTTACATCTGAAGACAGGGAGGCTGGCCTCTGCGGAAGCACTCTCCTCAGAAGCGAGCTAACCTGTAAGTGGAGAGAACAAGTGGGCTTTAGAAGGGAGGCTTCATGGGAGCTAGGTACGCTGTAGAAGTTAGAGAACGGCTGCAGGACATATGTTGAGGGGCACAGTAGATATTACCTCAATGTGGCTGGTATGCCAAGTATCTGACATAGGCAGGTGGTTGTCAAAGAGGAAGTAGCTTACAGGGCATCTACATGAGATAAATGAGCAAGTATAGGAATTTATAGACTTTGCTTTTTGGGAAATAAAGAACTATTTTTTATTTTCTAGTTTTGTTTTTGTTGTGTTTGTTTGGTTAGTTGGTGAGCTGTATGCTAAGGAGCCATACAATTGTTACGTTTTAAGAAAAACACTATGATAGATACATACAAGTTGGATTGAAAGAGACAGAGGAAAGGAACAGGAAGGTCAATTTAAAGAGTGTGGCACTTGACCAGATGAGCCATGGAGGTCATCTCAATAAGGACACAAAGAGGAGTTAGAAAAATGGGAATAAATGTAAAACAAAACAAAAAGTTGGGGAAATGATGAGAGAAAAAAAGGATTGAGGGCAGCCCATAGCCTGGTGATTAAGGTAGCTGGATCCCACATGAATGACTCTGCAGTTTGAGTCCTAGACCCAGTAGCTTGAGAAACACTCTGGGCATGTGTGTGTGCATGCCCAAAATTCTGAAAAGAGGGAAAGATGGAGAAGAATGGGTTGTGGCATGACCATTCCCCATGAGGAATGTTTGCTTTCCATCTCTCTCTCTGTCCCTCTTTATCTCTCCGGCAAGCACACATGCCCTCTGGCAAAGGAAAAGAAAAGAAAAAGAAAAAGAAAATTTTTAAAAGGGATGGGATGCTGTATTTAGCAGTGGGAGGTTTTTTTGTTTTGTTTTGGTTTTTTGTTTTTTGTTTTTTGTTTTTATGACAACTGTAGACAAAGGCAGTAAATCACCAAGCAATTTGCAGTTTTGAAAAAAAAATGGTTTTATATATATAATTTATAAAAAAAAAGTGCATGACAAATGTATTTTCACTTTTTTTTTTTTTTTCATTTACCAGAGGGTGTGTGTACTTGCCAGAGAGAGACAAAAGAGAAAACGAGATGGGGAGAAGGAAAAAGTACCTCCCAAGGCGGGTGGAGAAGCCAATCCCTTCTCTATTTCTCCACCCTGTCAGGATTTTGGGCACATAGGTATATGCAGCCAGAATGTTTTTCAAGCCTGCTGGCACTGGGGGGTCCAACTGTGCAGTCAACCATGTGAAATCCATCTCCCTTAGTCACCAGGCCATGGGGCCAGTCCTGTACTGTCCCTTTAAAGTCAGACTATGTAAAGACTTGTTTAAAGCAAAATCATTGAGGACATTTCTACTCTTCACCACTGTTTACTGTATATTTACATAATACAGTACACCCTAAGTTGATAGTAGAAATAGTCCTTGTCCTTGAAGGAACCATGAAGTTAATTCCCAACAAATTACTGAGTATCATCTTTTATCCTGGTATCTCTGTTAGAACCAGATAGTTCCACAATCACAAATTGCTAGTTGTGAAAACCAGCCCACTAAATTATCTGGGAATGTACAAGATGAGATAAGTTTCTTGGGACCAGCAGTTAGCATAATGGCTATGTCACTGGACTCGCGCTGACTTTAACTCACGCTGGGCGCGTGTGCATGCGTGCCCAAGATCCTGAGAGGAGAATGGAGGAGAAGGGATTACGGCATGGCCATCCCCTCTGGTGATGATTTCTCACTTTCTGTCTCTGTCTCAGTCTTTCTGGCGAGCGCACGCGCCCTATAGCAAAAACCTCTCCAAAAAAAAAAGATGAGATAAGTTTCTCACACCCAATCAAAACCGTTATGAAGTATAAAAATTATAGAAATAAGATTTTTTTTCATTTTTAACAAATTAGTGGATTTATTATTTTGATTGAATTTTAGGAATTCAATTAAGGAAAAAGATTCAAGTATTAATGTTGGTAAAATAAAATTTGACTGAAAAACCAGAGCCGGCAGGTGGCATGGTGGTTAAGATGCTGGACTTCCATGTGATTAGCCATGGTTCAAGTCCCATACCTGGTGGCTTACTTTCTCACTTTCCCTTTCTCTCTCTTTCTCTGTTTCTCTCTGGTCAAATTTAAAATAATAATAATCAATACAATTAGAAAAATAATTATTTTCTAAAATGTATTTATTATTTGTTTAGTTTCATTTGTTATTATTATTTTTTAATTTGATCAGAGAGAGACAGAGGAAAAGAGAAAGGGAAAGCAAGAAAGCAAGCCACCAGGCTTGGGACTCAAATTGTGGTAGGCCACGTGGGAATCCAGTGCCTTTAACCACCATGACACCTGTCGGCCTCAAATAAATAATTCTTTAAAAAAAAAACAGTATATACTTTCAAAAAAATGGACAGTTATTGTTAAATGTGCACAATATAATGTAATGTTCAATGTTAAATAAGATGAATATGTTCATATCCTTGATTTGATTATTACACACTGCATATATGCTTTGAAAAACCATACAATATCCTACAAAAATGTACAATAATTACATGTAAACTAGGAATCAATAGAAATTACTTGACAATTAATATATACCAACTACTCTTTTAAAATAAAAATGTAGGTATCATAAAGAAAAAACAAAAATCAAAAGATAACAGTATGAAGTGAAAATTTTCCATATGAATTATTACAGTTGTTATTGTATTTGCAAGAAATATATACACATCAAATACACTCAGAAAAATATTCATGATGATATGTATAAAAATATAAATGTGATTAAATCCTTCCTTAGCTTTAAGAAATTGAACAAAGATATCTAGAGTACCGCAGAAAAAAACATATTCATTAGCCATATTAAAAATATATTCCTAATCATTGAATATATTCAAAGTGAATGTTTTTAAAAACAAGGTTAGGTAGATTGATAATTGATCAATGCAACAGGATGATTTCAGTGAGCTGATTCCTCAGGAATGGGCATTCACTCAGTTGGCTCTTGGTGACTTAACATTCCAAGGGTTTGGCCTGAGTACCAGTGCTGCAGCTGTCCTTGGCACCTGGGTCCCTGGTAGTTCCACTTTCCTATCTTCTACCCCTGCCCACATCATCTGTCCTTTCTCTCTTTCCTCTTTAATTCCTTCTCATTCTGCATTTTCTTCTTATCTACCAGGCTAGTCTCCATGTACCAAATGCAGCTTAGTATTTAAAACCTCATCCTAACTTGGCTGTCTTCACCACTAGACTATAAGGTCCTTGAAGTCAAGTATGGACTCCTGTTTAATCCACCCTGCATAGTACCCAGCACAGCACCTCACAAAGTTCAAGTGCTCAAGAAATGTTTGTTGAGGGACCAGCAAGTGACATAGTGGTTAAGGTGCTGGATTCCCACAAGGCGGACTCCAATTTAAGTACTGGATCTGGTACCTTGAAACTCACACCAGGCATGTGTTTGTGCATGCCTAAAATCCCAGGAAAAGAATGGGGGAGAAGGGATCGTGGCATGGCCAACCTCCCCAGGAGGTGATTTCTTACTTTCTGTTTCTGTCTCTGCACGCACCCTATAACAAAAAAACTCTCTCTCAAAAAATAAAATTTGTTAAATTTCAATCCCAAAGGACCTAGTGATAAACTGTGTTTCAAAGAAGAATAATACTGCTCTGTGTCCATATCTACCCTTACAATGTTTGCTTTGTCAAGGTCTGATTTTGACTGATTTTAAAGCAAGTCACGTCTTGCTTATTAATGAAACTGACCGAAGTGATTTTATCCTGAGCTCCTTTTCATCCTTAAACAGAAGTCATCAGGACATCAACAAGTCCATAAGGGACAGTGAAAAAGGGAAGGAATAAATGAAAATCAGCTCTCCCTTTCCAAGTTTTGACAGGTGGTACACACTTATTGACCCTACACC